TTATATTTTAATATATTTATAAATTCTAGTCAAAAATAGGGGGGGGGGGGGGGGGGGGGGGGGGGAATTAACAAACTTTCAAAGTAATTTCAATCAAACACAAAGAAATCCTAGTCAAAAAGAGTGAAAATCAGAATAGCTTTACCAATCTAAGTTCTTCAAACTATCAAGTGAATTCCACAAGACATATAAGCTTTAAAATATATATATATATATATATATGCAAATCCCAAAAGCAGTATGGATCATATTTGAGAGAATAAAATACTTAAGACTTAGTTCATGTTTGTTGTTGTTGTTGTTCCTTATCAGTATTCTCTATTGGTTACAATGGGTTTAGTATCCCTTATTTAAAAAACCATCATATACCTCTATTGTTCACAATGAATTTACCAGTCATAGAAGAGCACACCAGTAAGAAATGGTTCACAACCCTTCTAACCACAACAGGTTCATGAGGTTGTAACTGTATTTTATAGAAAATGATAGATAGTGATAAAAAAGAGATAAGAGAAAAAATAACATGATACTCAGAGTTCGACTTGAACAATCAATAATTTCTCAAATCTCATATTATGTTATATATTAATACTAATTGTAATACATTAGCAACATGATACTCATAGTTCGAATCGAACAAATAAGAATGAAACAAAATAAAATGAAGCATATACCTGAAGAAGAAACGATGATTATTGAAGGAAAAAAGAAAATTCACAAACCAGAGAGCCGATTAATGAATGAAGAGGCTTCATATTCTCAAACCTCAATGTGTTACCAAGAATGAAACCTTCGAGTTGCAACCGCAATAATCCAATTGATGAAGAGAGATAACAAAGATGGCTTCTGGATAACGATAACGGCTTCAGGACAACCGCGATAATCCAAGCAACGGAGAAGTCATCTTCGAGCTACATTTTCAGGTGACGGCTTCTAGAGCTCAACTTTGGGTTTGAGAGATTAGGGTTCGATTTTGAGAGACAGAGAGTGAGAGAATGATATGGAGGTTTTTATTCTTTCGTTTTCATTTAACTAGTTTTATTTTAGTTATAATTTGACTGTTTTATTTTATTAAATAAATTTTAATTCAATTTTGATTTTATATTATTATATTCTTTTATTTAATATATAATTTTTGTTTTATTATATATATATATATATATATATATATATATATATATATATATATATATATATATATATATATATATATATATATATATATATATATATATATATATATATATATATATATATATATATATATATATATATATATATATATATATATATATATATATATATATATATATATATATATATATATATTCAATTTTATTTAATTTTAATTTAATTTTATTAATTTAGTTGAAATTTTATTTTATTTTATTGATTTATAATATAGTTTTTATTATATAAATTTGAATTTAAAATATTTTTGGCTTTACTTTATTAATTTTTTAATTTAATTTTATCAATTTAATTTTAGTTATAATTTATAGATTTATTTTATAAGTTTATTTGATTTTATTAATTTATAATATCGATTTATTTTTTAAATTTGAGTTATAATGTAGTTTTTGTTTTTGTTTATTAATTTTTAAAATTAACTTTTAATTTTAATTTATAGTCTTAAATAGTTTCTTTGGTTTTTAGTTAAAAATTATTAAATAACATTTTTATTAATACTAACCAAACGAAATTGGTGGCGGAAGGAAAATTATTAGGCAATAAAATTAGCTTCGGAAGGAGTCGTCTCTAATAAAAAAATAATAATTGTTTAAAATAACAAATAAAAAGGAGCAAACAAAATTGATGGAGAGTAATGAAAGTATTTCAGAGAAATAGTTGCGTCGGCATGAACTGTCATTAATATTAAAAAATTAAAACAATAAATAAAAATGAGGCAAACGAAGTTAGTGGAGGTAATTGAAATTATCTCGCAGAAACAGTAGTGTTGGACTAAACTGTTGCTAATATCAAAAGTATAATTAATTATTTAAAACAATAACTAGAAGGAGGCAAACAAAATTGGTGGAGGGAATTGAAATTTTTTGCAACTACGTTAGCGTCGGTCAAAGTCGACGCTATAATTAATGGCCTAATAAAAAATAAAACAAATAACTTAGCCAGTTAGGGTCGACTATGTGGGACGTATTAGCAACGCTATTAGCATCGAAATCGGGGCCGACGCTAATAATTTGGAGATAAAAAATGAATTTCTTATAGTGGTACCAGGTTATTGGTAATAAGATTCTTATAGAGAAATTATTATTCTTTACGTTCGTATTTTTAATATCACTAGGTGGGGTACCTTAGTGATTGTGTTAGAAAGTTAATAGAGTCTAATTGTTTGACTGTAACAGTTCTAACATATTGAAATATCTCACGGAGTGTGGGGGAATGTGAGTACTGATGGTTGAAAAGAATATATTATGTGTTCATTTACGTTTACTTCATATTTATTTTTATTCTCTTTCACTCAACTAAGAAAACTAACCTTTACACATAAACCAGTAAAAGAAAAACTAGTGACATTCTTAGGGCTTTAAAAAATCCATCAATTTTTCATAAATCTCTAAAATCTCTTTAAACAAAGTAAATATGGATCTTGGCACACTAGAAAATCTTCCAACTATATTTTCTGAATCAAATATTGAGGTTCATTTGGTTTGAGTAAAAATAGTTGGAGCATTTTAATAAAATTCTTATTAAAATTATTTAATTTGATACAATCTTTTTACATGTTTTGTTGTTAGAATTTCTTATACATTTTATTTTATATTTTACTGTGAAATATTCTTATAAAGGACGTAAGGTTCAAAAAGGGGTTTCTGAGTTGATATAGAAATTGAGAATTATTCTCAAGCATGAGAAAAAGTATGTTCTCAAGCAATCAATTTCTATCAGTCGAATATAACTAGATTCGAAGAGCAATGCCTACAAGATGATTAAGTCGAATGCATAGATGTAATATGTCTCATAATTATAGTCGTCACAGATAATTATATGATCATTAAACTCAAGGATTTTCTTTTAATAAGAACTACAATATAGGAGAAATGTAAAACTTCCCAAAGTATTTTCTATACAAGTTATGAATCCAAATGAATCTTAAAATTATTTTGAGATTTGAAAAGATTGGATTTCCTTATACACCAAATTGTTGGACACAAATTCTATTTGAGATTGTCTTGCATAGATGTATTAGATTCATTATTAATGAATTTTACATGTATCTATTATCTTTTTGAAAAGAAAGAGAAATAACGTATGCTGCTAAGTAGATGGATAATAACAAAAATAAAATTCATATTATGTTCCTTTGAATTTTGGCAGACAAATACAGTTCTAAAGAAAGACTGTGATTTCATGTGTTGGAAGAAGAAAAATGCTAATGGTTATCAAAAGAATCAAAGTAGAAGAAAGAAATAAGACCTCGTCTTCATACATTCAGTTATAGAATGTTAAATTATCTACTTCTATATCATAGGTATGTGATACCAGATGTTGATCTCACATTTTTATGAATGTGAAGAGTCTTTACTAAAGTAGGACGTTGATTATAATTTGAGTCAGCTTATGTCTAGAATGGAACAACAGATTTTTATCGACTATAAGAGCTTATGATTAGACTTAAATTAGAGCTTGTAATGAAATCAAATAATTGAATTCAAGTTTTAGATTTGAATTCTAAGATCATGAAAAGCTCTTCTATTACAAATATGGGAAGTATCAAATAAGATTTGAACCATATATATCAATGGTATTAATGTTTAGTCTAAATAAGTGAAAAAATCATTTCCAAAATCTATGTGAATGGATTATTGGACTAATTTGGTTTTATATCATTGGACAAACGCATGTTTTGATTTTGGAAGATGTTTCTAATGTCCTAATCAAAGAGTAAAGTGAAATGACATATGATATATATTAATTATATACTAGTGTGATGTATATGGACCTCGAAACATATGTACTGGATGAATATTGTTTGTCTTAATACACTTATATTAGTGACAAACTCATTAATTATAGACTTGAATATGTGAAATGCATAAGAATTATTTTGAGAAGACTTTAAGAATGAATCAGAAGGAAACAACTCGAAAACGTATGAAAATCATATGAATGATTCATTATGATAAATATCTATATAAAGAATATAATAAATATTTAAATTGTATCGTGTTTGACATTATTTGATCTAAAATAGTTTGAGTATATTGTCGTGACTCTTTTTATAAATTATTTTACATACAATCATTCGTATTCATATCTAGTTTCGTTTAAAGTAGTCGTAGAGACACCATATTTAATATAGAGATAAGAGTACCTAATTTGTTTTTATGATAATTTAGATTGTAAGATTTATTAAATAAATTTGATCACAATTTAGATGAAGATGTATCTATTGGACATGTATTTCATAGGACATGGATATAAGATATCAAATTTTTACATTAATCTAAATGTTATGAGTGTTTTATACTTCTGACTTTTTTAATAAATGATTCATTATATATTTTGGTTGAGAATTTTAGGCCCATACCGTTATAAAATTTGTGATTTGCTCCTAGTATGACTTTTTTTGTGCAAGATCTATGATTTTTAAATGTTTTTTTTATCATCTTCTATGATTTTTCTTCATGATTTACAAGATTTCCCATGAAAAAAAACTCATAGTTGCATATACATGTGCACTTTTAATTGCATGATTAAATTCTAACAAAATAATAGTTGAAAGGTATAATTAACTATTTATGGTTGATGATATTATACATACTAAATTTAAGGAAAACCATTGAGCATACTCATAGTAGTACAAAAGAGTATTATTAAGAAAAAACATAGTAGCTAAGAGGAGCACCAAAATATGATTTATTTATTCATAATAGAAAAGTGAAACTATAATTTTAGTTACAAGAGAACACTATTTTATTCTTTGCTCACTATGAGCTATATCTCTTGATAGCATAGATGCATAATATTTGCTCTCATTAAAAAGCATCCAAAATTGAATATAGAGGATCTCTTGTTTCATGGATTCCTCTCTCCCTGTGTTCAGGTTGAGCATTTGCAAAGTGAGATTGTTTTTGATTCTCTAGTAGCCTATCAATCTCTTGAACTGATCCAGGGAATACAAGTTCTTTCACTGGTTGGTGTATCTGGCCAATCACATTGTCCTCCCCGCCTTCAAATTTTCAATCACCCAAAAAATAAGCCTATATTAATCATTTTTTCTTTTTGATTTAAATAGAAGTAGACTTTTAAAATACACTCTAAAACTGAATATATAGAGAAAGAGACTGAGTGATATATAATATACCTGCAAGAAAATTTCTTTGGTTGTTCTTAGCGTTAATACCAAATCCAAGTAAATCGAGATTAGAGGAAGCTTTTATGGCAACTGGATGACCTGCAGGAATTACAAAAACATCTTCGCGAGACAACTTAGCTTTATAATTTTTCACTTGTTTATTTATCTCTTCTTCTCCTTGTTCCTCTTCCTCGTCATCTTCTTTTCTCTGCCCTTGTTGGTTCTCGTTTCTTTGACCCACAAGTTCAAAATCTCTATTTTCATCGTTAACCGTTACTATTACTATGGCCCTTGAATTATAGTGTGGCAACAATAGAGATCCCTAAAATTTAATTTGAAAGAATGATTAAATAAATATTTTAGCTATATAATATATAATTAAAACAAGTTATTGAGTATATAAAACTTGTTGTCTATGAGATGTCAACTTAATAAAAAATTGACATTATAACTTCAATGGAAAAAATTCTAATCATTTAGAAAAATTATAATTTGATCAAGTGAAATATCATTGTGTAATTAAGTTAGTTGTCTATATTATAAAATAATTTCATCATACCTCTTTAATCTCCACAGAATTGACAAATACATTCAAGTCTTGAAGTTGTGGATTTTTCTCTGGGGTAATTTCAAAGAATCTGCCAAACTTGTTGGAATAGACAGGGTTGCGACTTCTCAAGTTGAATGGTTCAGATTCAGAGGATACACTCTTTTTAGAGCTAGACTTTTCATTTTTACTCAATTCTTCAATTTGTCCCCTTGATAATTTGACTATAACATCCTCTTCTTGACTATGGTCCCTCTTATCCCTAAGGCTTCTTCTATGTTGTGTCTCTTTATCATGCTCTTCTAAAAGAACCTTCTCTATCTCTTCATAACCCGTCTATATTTTTTAAAATATATACAATAGCAAAGTGAATATTAACATATAGCAAATCAAACTAATACAAAAAAATCAGGAAATTATGTGTTTTGTACTTACATTGAAGGAAGCCTCAAGAATATTTTTGTTGAACTCAGATAAGATGGATTGTTGGTTTTGACTTCCTGACAATAAGAAAGACAGTTGAAAAGGACAAAAAACAATGATAAGATCATTAGAAAAGTTTACATTAAAATATGAATAAATACAATTGTAATTGTTGTTGTGATTTTATGGAAGAGGCCCCTAAATTTGTTTTAAACAAGTTCAGACCATATTTGAAATGAGAAAAGGTAAACATTGACTATATTACCTGAAGTTGGCCAGGTCTATTTACGGGAATGGAAAGATATAATACTCTAAGATCCTCGTTGTCATCTCTATTAACCAAATAAGCAATGGTACCCGCAGGAAGTTTTATGGTATCTCCACGTTCAAGGTTGAAAGAGTTTCTATCATTGGGTTCCAATACTGTGAGTATAGCTTTTCCTGAAAATTACAATTATCATTATATTTTAAAATTTAATTTAACTTATCCTTACAAAATAAACATGTAAAGTAATAAATACCATTCTTTTTAAATAATCTATGTGTGATTAGTTTTAAATATTTAGCTTAGTAAATGATAAATTACCACTTAGGACAACAAGGATGAAATCGGCATCGGTTTGTTGTGGAAGAAATATGGTGTGAGGTTTGGACTTATATTCCAAAAGGCGATAGTTTTGAAGATTTTCTAATATTTTAGAACGTTCGTCAAATTTTTGGAGAAGACGGATGTGACCATTATCATTTTCAAAAAGAGTTTGAAACCTATTAGACTCAAAGATAAATGGATTTTATTGATCAGATCTAGAAGAGACACACACTGAAGCTAGGAAAGCAGTTCCCAGCAACATCAAAAGTGGAAATGAAGCTTTGATTGTAGTAGCAGCCATGTTGATTTGAACTAATGCCTCACTTTTCTCGTTGTAGATGAATGAAAAGGTGAGATGAGAGGGTATTTATAAATATAGAATGTTAAGACTATAGAAAAATGGGATAGTTTTACTGTAATTCCGTGGATAAAAAGAGCTTTACTAATATTGTTATTTTTAGTTAGTTAGTTACAACTTTCTGATTGGTTGTTAAGTGATAGAAACACACTATATATGGATAAGGCTATCACACGTGTAATATAACAAACTATCATTCTTTTTCTCATTATCTTCTTCCCTCTTCTTTTTTATTTCTTGCTATTTTCTTCTCCAATGCTGAAATATTTCCTTCTTCAATGGTGAAATAGCGTCACCACAATATGGTATCATTCTCCAATTCGATCCTTATTCTGTTGTTTTTCAATTGAAGCTTTATTTCGTGCGTCCTTCCCTCTGCATCCATGGCTCCTCCTCGAGCTTCACCTATTGATCCAGCTTTGGATCAAACTTCACCATTCTTCGTTCATCCCAGTGATGGCCCCAGTTCGGTTACAGTTCTTCCTAAGCTTACTGGCTCTAACTATCAGTCATGGGCTCTAAGCATGAAGAGGGCGCTCGGTGGAAAAATGAAGATTAAGTTCATTGATGGATCTCTTCCTGCTCCCGTTGATTCTTTCGATCCATCCTTGCGTGCTTGGAATCGCTGCAAAATGTTAGTTCATTCTTGGATCAGGAATTCAGTTTCAAATTCCATTTCACAATCCATCGTATTCTTGGAGAATGCGCTTGATGTATGGAATGACTTAAGAGAACGGTTCTCTCAGGGAAATTTCATCCGTATTTCTGAGCTACAACAAGAAATATACAACCTCAAGCAAGAAACCAAATCGGTAACTGATTTCTTTTCTGAACTTAAAATTCTTTGGGAAGAATTAGATTTGTATTTGCCTTTACCAACTTGCACATGCCGCATCAAATGCTCTTGTGAAGCTATGCGCAATGCAAGATCCAACCATCAACTAATGCAAGTTATCATATTTTTGACTGGTTTGAATGATTAATTTGTTGTTGTTAAGTCCTAAATTTTGTTAATGGATCCTTTGCCAAATATGAATAAGATATTCTCCATGTTTATTCAACATGAGAGACAACTTCAGCTTCCTATTTCCAATGATGAGTACCAAACTTTGATCAATGCTGCTGATTCTAAGAAATATGGTGCAACAAACAATACATTCAGGCATGGAGCTCGTGTCTGCACTTTCTGTGGCAAGAATAATCAAACTGCTGAAAATTGCTTCAAGAAACATGGTGTTCCACCACATATGCAGAAGCAGTTTCAGAATTCAGCTAACAATGTTGCATCAGATGGCATTGATGATGGATCTTCTTCTAATGGTGCTGACATCAAAAGTGATAATTCACCTATGACTCAAGGTCAATTCAATACTCTAATAGAGCTAATTCAGAAATCCAGCATTGGACAATCTTCAGGATGTGCTTCTTCTAATCAAGTTGTTGTTGGTCATCTATCAACAGGTAACACCTCTCATTGCATGCATAGTAGTAGTAATAGTTATTAGATCATTGATTTAGGAGCTTCTGATCATATATGTATTTCTATCAGATGGTTTCACTCATATAAGAAAATTGTTCCAATCAGTGTTAGATTGCCAAATGGACAATGTCTTGTGCTAGCTATTCTGGTACAATTCATTTTTTCCCTGATTTCATTGTGCACAATGTCCTTTTGCTTCCTGAGTTTTCTTTAAATCTTTTATCTGTTTCTAAACTTTGTGAATCTTCTAATTACAATGTCAGTTTTCTCAACTCAAAATGTTTTATACAGGACAAAGTCACCCTGAGGATGACTGGTTCTGCTGAGCAAAAGAATGGACTGTACTACTTAACACTAAGAGATAATGCTTCACCTGCTATAGCAGCCACAGTCACCTTGCTTGAAAAAGCCTTATGGCATTTTAGATTAGGACACTTATCCAATAACAGACTTTTTGTACCTACATTCCCAATTTCCCTTCATCACATTTTGCTGTCCAATCCTTGCATGGTCATTCATATTTTTTAACTGTTGTTGATGATTATAGCAGATTCACATGGATAACCTTAATGAAAGCTAAGTCTGAAGCTAGACAGCATGTCAAAAATTTTGTCAGTCTCATAGAAAACCAACATCAGTTTTCTGTCAAAATTATCAGAACTGATAATGGTGTTGAATTTCATATTCCTGAATTTTATGCTTCTAAGGGAATCATTAATCAGACTAGTTGTGTTGAATCTCCATAACAAAATGGTAGAGTGGAGAGGAAAAATCAACATTTATTAAATGTTGGATGAGCCCTTCTCTTTCAGTCCAAGCTTCCCAAGAAATTTTGGTCATATGCTATTTTGCATGCCACCTTCATTATAAATAAACTCCCTACCCAAACTTTAAATAACCTTTCTCCTTATTTCATACTACATAATGAGCATCCAAATATGCATAGTCTCGAAGTCTTTGGATCTTTATCTTTTGCATCCTCCTTAAATATGCATAGATCAAAACTTGATTCAAGAGCTCGCAAATGTGTTTTCTTAGGATACAAGAATGGAATGAAGGGTGTGGTACTCTATGATATTAATAACCATACCATTCTTGTCTCTAGAAATGTCATACACCATGAACACATATTTCCCTATTCAAATACGAATTCTATTAATTGGTACTATCATCTTCACAAAGAATCCATTGACTCGCCTCAACATGTTCCATCACAGAATATTGAACCTATTATTGAAGAACATGATCATCACAATACCATCGCCAATGACACATTATATCTCTCTAACACTGACCCTGAAACTGTAGGAAACACTGATGAGAACCATGACCTCCAACATATGCATGATACTGAAAATTGCAAAACTCAGTCTAGACCTGTTAGAACCAAACAGACACCCAATTATCTCTCAGATTATGTGTGCAATACATCTGATGTATCAGCAGTCAAGTCATCATCAGGTACATCCAAAGTTATTTATCCAATTTCAAATTATGATTCATTACATTTTCTGTCTGCATCTCATCGTGCTTTTGCATCTAATATCACTCTCATTCATGATCCAAAGACTTACAAAGAAGCATGTCTATCTGAACATTAGACCAAAGCCATGAAGACTGAATTAGATGCATTAGACAAGAATAGAACTTGGAATATAGTTGATTTGCCACCACATGTCAAACCAATTGGTAACATATGGGTGTACAAAGTGAAGCATAGAGCAGATGGCACGATAGAGAGGTATAAAGCGCGACTTGTGGTCAAAGGCTACAATCAAATCGAAGGACTTGATTTTTTTGACACATTTTCACCATTAGCAAAGCTTACAACTGTCAGAACCCTCCTTGCGACTGCAGCTATCAACAATTTTTTTTTACACCAACTTGACGTTAACAATGCTTTTTTACACGGGGAATTGAAAGAAGATGTGTACATGACCATACCTGAAGGGGTTCCATGTCACAAACCTAATCAGGTATGTAAACTTCATAAGAGTTTATATGGTCTGAAGCAAGCAAGTCGCAAATGGTATGAAAAGTTAACTGCTCTTTTATTGCACCAAGGGTACACTCAATCTACTTCTGATTACTCCCTTTTTACTTTGAAAACTGATGCACATTTCACAACAATTTTAGTATATGTTGATGACATAATCTTAGCTGGCACTTCTATGTCTGAATTTGATCGTATCAAGCTCATTCTAGATGAAACGTTTAGTATCAAAGACCTGGGAATATTGAGGTATTTTCTTGGCCTCGAGGTTGCTCACTCAAAGGCAGGCATTTCTTTATCACAGCGAAAATACTGTCTTGGTCTGTTGCAGGAATATGGTATGCTTGGATCTAATCCAGCTCCCACACCTCTTGATCCATCTGTCAAGCTACATGCTGATAGTGGCAAAGCTTTTGAAGTCATTGGATCTTATAGGCGTTTAATAGGTCGCTTGTTGTATCTTAACACAACACGTCCAGACATTACATATGCCACCCAACAACTCAGTTAGTTTCTTCACAATCCAACAATGGCAAACTATCATGCTTCTTGCAGAGTCATACGCTACTTGAAGAATAGCCTTGGTAGAGGAATTCTGTTTCGTAGGAATGCTGAATTGCAACTTCTTAGTTTCTCAGATTCAGATTGGGCAGGGTGTATTGATTCAAGAAAGTCTATTCCGGGCTATTTCTTTTTCCTTGGAACTTCTCTTATATCATGGCGTGCGAAGAAGCAATATATTGTTTCCTGATCATCTTCAGAGGCAGATTATTGGGCACTATCTTTTGCTACATGTGAACTGCTTTGGTTGATAGCTCTCATGAAGGAATTGCACATCACATGTACCAAACTCCCTGTCCTGTACTGTGACAGCCAAAGTGCAATGTATATTGCACTCAATCCAGTATTTCACGAACGAACCAAGCACCTTGAGATTGACTGTCATTTATTCCGTGAAAAACTGCAGCAAGGCTTACTTTGGCTTCTACCAATTTCAACTCATGAGCAACTAGCTGATTTCCTAACCAAAGCTTTATCCACTTCAACTTTCAACAAGTTCATTTCCAAGCTTGGCATGATCAACATCCACCATGCTTAGCTTGAGAGGGGCTGTTAAGACTATAGAAAAATAGGATAGTTTTACTGTAATTCTGTGGATAAAAAGAGCTTTACTAATATTGTTATTTTTAGTTAGTTAGTTACAACTTTCTGATTGGTTGTTAAGTGAGAGCAACACACTATATATGGATAAGATTATCACACGTGTAATACAACAAACTATCATTCTTTTGCTCATTATCTTATTACTTCTTCTTTTTCATTTCTTGCTATTTTCTTTTTCAATGCTGAAATATTTCCTTCTTCAATTGTGAAATAGCTTCACCACAATATAGAAAAGAAAATTATATAATTAACATGCACCAACATTTGGCCATGTTGTACCATGCATATGGACGTGTGTGAAAATGT